AGTATTATGGTAGACATATTGACAGTGATCGGAAGGTACATATGTTCCATATAATTAAGGACGCAAATCGAGTTTGGTGAAAGCAGGACATCGCATGAGAGAATTTTAAACAGCTTTGTAGAAATGCTAATAATTTTTGTTTGTTTTGTCTAGAGAATTGAACTTTGGACTGTGTTTAAAAGTCACAATTATTGATCTTCAGAAGGACATAGGGATTTATTTTTTACTTTCATCTTTTCGATAGTTAAAACCATTATAAATGGTACATGTAAGAACTTAAACCTCCGGAATCACACTACGTATTGGTTGAAATCGTTTAAAAATCAGTCCAGTATTTTTTGAATTCATTGCGTTCATATAGACAAACAGACATTAAACTGTCAAACACCAAGCGGTCACCGGTGACCGCAACCTATTGTTCTATAATTGTCTATAATGACATTACCCGACGAGTTAAGAGAGAGAGAGAGAGAGAGAGAGAGATATAAGAGAGAGAGAGAGAGATTAATATAACTGTTTGGCTGGGAAGTGTGTCTGCTTCAATGTCACTGGTTCCATCTCGACTGGGCGCCGCAGCTGTGCTCGGTCTCGTGCGTGCTCGATATTACTCACTGGTGCCTGTCACATCACATCACATCACAACACAATTGGTTACATTCACATGTGTTCAGTGGTCGCCGGCGTATGGCGTAGTTTCGCAGTTTTGCCTGCTTGCTATCGCCATCCCATGGCATGACTATGCGTTCGTTGGGGTGGCGGGGGCAGTAGGTTACTCTAATTCACTTTGTTTTTTGTTTTATTATTTTAAGTTTTTTTTTTTTGGATATTGGTAGGTTGCATTTAACTACACGTGTGTTTAAATTTGCTTTTTTGTTTTTATATATTTGTTTTGTTTTGTGCATTTTTGAAAAATTATTGAGAAAATTGTTTTATGTTTATCGTTGTCTGATTGGTGACTTGTTCGTCCGCGAGTCACTTCGTCGTCGGGGCCAGTAGAATACCAGCGCAAGGCCCTGTCTTGCACATGCTGAACTGGTCCCATTTCACCGCAGACTTGGGACCTGTGCTTGGGACATTAGTAGATATATTTTGTAAACTCATTACTTATTAAACTTATGTGTAAAATCTATATGTGTCACCTGTTTTTTAGCGCGTGAAATAAAGTCTTTCTTTCTTTCTTTCTTTCTTTCTTTCTATT